AACCTCGGCGAACAGAGCGAGGGGAGACTTGCCCTGGGCCAATCTAACTTATCTATGCAGTTACTTGTGTAGCGAGTCCGAGGGGAAAAGTCCCGTGTGTAGGTGAGGAAGTCGGATGGACTTATATTTAATTTGCGGAAAGTATGCGCGCACAGTGCCAAAAATTGGGACGAGGACTGCGTTGTCCGTTACAAGTGACAAGCTGCTCGGACACGAGGTGTTTGAACCGTCGTGGGAGCTTGTGCAAGGCGATGATTTCGCGGTGGGTTGAAAGTAAGACCCATGTCTGCGCGAAATGATGACGGACCGGACAGAATCAGCGACGATGTTTAACGTACCTCCGTGGGAAATATCGGAGGTAGGCTATATCGTGCTGGTTTGGACAATGGACAAACATAGATTTGAAGACAGGGTCCGTGTGTCGAACGTGTAGGCGAGAAGAAGGGGCGAACTGTGTCGCTCGATGCAGATTGTTCAAGTGCGAACAAAAAGGGGTTGATAAATATCTAGCAGTTAGTCAATCTGCACCCTGTGACGAACACACCATTGGCTAGATGGTGTGGGTCGGTGGATATGCTAGAGATGAACAACGAAATATATTATCATAAATGAAGGGCGAAGATTAGTATTTTGAAATGACAATATAGAAGTTCGATAATTGATTAATCAATAATTCTATAAAAGGTCCTGAGCTGGTATAAGGTTAACAAAGTTGTAAGAATGAGAGAGGCATTCAGGGGAAGATAGATAAGAGTCACCAAGGGTTGGTTGTAAGCAAGGCTCACGTGATGGTTGAAATTCTTCGACGCCTGTCTTACAGGGTGAATTTTGAATCGATTAGGGAAAGAAATTATTTTTCGTGAGCCGTGCTTACAAGTAGGAGAGGTCTATACAAATAGACATACAAAAGTTTAGGTGCTGGAGGCATATTTTTATAAATAAATAGATTATGAAAAATCTATTGTTAATACTAAAAATCGTAAAGCATTAATAGGTAGAATTCCGCTTTTTTTTTAAAGAGTTTTTTTTTTAAGAGTTACGTTAAAAATGGAAATTATTTAATTAAAATAACGATTGTTGATTTCTACTGGTAAGGTAACTAATTAAATGAGTTACAAATATCTAGATAAATAGTATGGAGCATAAAATCATTGTTAATAGGCATGGAGAGAATAAATGGAGCTAATTATGTAAATATTGGGACAATTTACAAGGAATGACTTATTTAAAGAATGAATGGAAGGGGTAAAACAATTTCACTTACAGGTTATGCTGGTTTAGAGAGCAGGTAATTTCATTGAGATTCGGGAGAGTTCTGTCTGTGACACTGAGCGTACCAGTGTTGTACATCACAGTAGCGGCAGGGATATGGCGGAGTCTTGTCCATGATGATGGAAGGTGTCCTGCTCTGGCACGGTGGTCGTTCTTGGGTAGATCTAGTGCTGGAAGAAGTGTGTGGCAGCTCCATCTCCGTCGTAGGTGAATACTTCTTCGGGATCACGGTTCAAAGGTTGGCAAAGAAGGGGTTGAGGGCTCGAAGAGGAGTGGTTACAGTTGAGTTGGGTTTGGCCGATCATCGTGGCTTGGCTTCTTGTTTCTTCATATACTCCGGTATATGAGGGATTTGTTTCCCGGCCAGGTCTTATCCTGTCGACTCTTCTGTGATATGATCCTGTCGACTCTTCTGTGATATGATCCTGTCGACTCTTCTGTGATAAGATCCTGTCGACTTTCGATGTGACAATATAGTGGTAAATGTGGTGAGGAGATAAATAATCACACGACGAGTTGGAAGAGGAATCTGGAAGCCATCCGAGAGAGAAAGAGGTAGCTAGAGAGCTGTCCGCTGAACGACTGTTTTCCCTGTGTACACAACCGGGGGGCTAACCAGGAAAGTCGCCAGGTGGTGACGGCCCCCCCCCCCCCTCAGGAATGTGGCCAAAAATGGTCTAAGTTAGTTGTCTAAAGTGTATCGCTTTAGCTGCCCAGCTCTCTCTCGTTGGCTGTTGGTTTGTTTTATTAATCTTGGAAGAGCATATATTATGACATACGAGCGAGACGTTATCAGCTGAACGACTGTTTTTCCTGTGTACACAACCGGGGGGCTAACCAGGATAGTCGCCAGGTGGTGACGGCCCCCCCCTCAGGAATGTGGCCAAAAATGGTCGTAAGTTAGTTGTCTAAAGTGTCTCGCTTTAGCTGTCCAGTTCTCTCTCGTTGGCTGTTGGTTTGTTTTATTAATCCTGGAAGAGCATATATTATGACATATATATATATGTATAGACAAATGTAAAGGCATACATGTATGACAGCGTAAGTGTCCCTAGGGAGACATGGCGCTTTAAATTGAAATTTAAAAAAAGTATCCCTTTTATTGTTATGCATTGTTAATTTGTCAATTTATTTTTTGTTCAATAAAATTATGACTAAAAATGTTTAACTCCGTTATTTTGGGACACCCAGTATAAGATGAAATTTTCTGGGAGTAAAGCTGTTATAGAAATTATAAGATAGTTCTCTCGTCACCAAATAGAACTACGCGCTATCTATTGACCATCTCTGCAATTTGGCAGAAACAGCTTTGTTATTTGCCTCGTTTTTTTTTTACAGGAAAAGTAGGATTTTCTAAACATTTGTATATATAGGTTTCTTGTTTTCTATAAGGTATTGCTGTAAGGATGTATGAAAGGAAAACCAAAAAGGCTGATAATGGAATTCTCTGATATTTTCAAAATAAAACTACTATATCATCAAACGACCAACTATCAAACACCAAGCAATAAGTTGAGGAGAAATATATATTTTGTTTAATTAAAGAGTTTCTTAGAAAAGTTTGGATTTTAGGAAATTTTATTTTGCGTACTTGTGTCATATTCTAAATATAGGTGTAAATTAATGTTGTATTAAATATGTGAAAGAGAAAGAATAAACCATTTTCTACAAGCCCTATAAGTTGTCAACAGTGAAGTAAGGTGTTTAAGGCCGCCAAACAAGGTAATGACGAAGACTGGCAGATTGGATTAGAGCGGCACAACATCCAACTTTGATGTTAGCTCAACACCAATCACAAAACCTCATCAGTTATGCGTCGCGGACCCGATGAATAATTCCGTGTGACAAATGAAAATGGCGCCTCTCCACGCGGACAGATGAATTGTTAAGTGGGATTAAAGAGCGTTCCATATGGAGCTAATGGCTGACTTAAACTATTACGACGTTTAGCTGTAACGACGTTTTAGAATTAACAAAGGATGTCTCCGCTGGGGGCAGTGGATGGACTTCCGAGTTGGTCTGTAGATGTTTTCTTTGTACCCTAGTTGGGTAGATAACTTGACGTCAAACACGTCCCTGGTAAGAATCATCGTGATAGCTATCAATGTCTGCATGTAATAGTTATCGAAGACTTCCTAAACACACCTTACCCCTAATTCCATTATTTCCTTTCCCTTTGAATTTGATATATGATGAATAGATTTATATATCACTCTAAACTACCTTTATTATGGAATTGATATCGATATATTCATTTATTGGTGAGCAGTTGCTGTAAACAAGCTTTGTTTACAGCAATTTCTTCTAATATAATCCTTACTAAAGCAAAAAATTGAGCCAATCAAATGAAAAAATATATATATTTTAGTAAAATATTCAGAATTTACAGAATACAACTACAAAGCCATATTGAAGCTATCTTCTGCTACAGACGGAAGGTTCTTCATTCACGCTGTTTTTTTTTATTTCTAACATTCCATTCCCACTCCCAGCACACAGACAGTCGGAATATTGGGTACACACTTGCTTCCTCTACGCCCTAGTTTGTTTCAAATAGGTTGTAAGGGGAGTAAATTAACGGGTAATCTTTAAAGGTTAATCAAGTTTACATACTATACGGTAACTCTAAGATTATTGAATATAATCAACCGAACAAACTCAAAACCAATTGAAAAAAAGGGGGGAAAGAACATTATTTACAACAAGGGTAGTATAGCTTGTCGAAGAAAAACGTCTACTTTTAAATAATAATAGGCAACCGTGGCTTATATAATGTCGTAAGTAAGCTTTTTCAAGCACTGTTTGATCTTTTTCTTGAGTTAATCTGCTGACTGGGCATTCCAGATCTTGTCACATTCTCTAATCCTTTAAGAATTTGCCAATGGTTCTTCATTGAACAAAGTTGAGAAACTGAAGAACTGAGTGGTCCAATATTCTAATCACACGTAAGAGTTCTCCCAGAGATGAGCCATAACATTTTTCTGAATTATGAACCAAAGCGAGGTCAATCCAAAACACGTCATTGTTAGCGAAGCGTGATTGCTGGCTGAAGAGTTGCTGCATGATGTGTGACTTTTTTAGAAAGCACTAACCACATACATCGCCTTGTTGATAACATGATCTGAAGACTCTCAATAAGTCGTCGGAAGATCCCTTCGAATGGAATGGCCATCCAGACGTTCAAATATTTCTTTGGCACCTCGTTGAAAATAGCTGAAATAACACTTTTGAGAAAAAACCCTGAGTTTATAGTTTTATTGGAGTAAGGACGAATGTAAATTAGACTCTGAATCGAGCTTGTAATCGCATCTTATATTAAAGCCCTTAGAGAATAAATATATCTCAAGTTTATTTTGATGAGTAAAACCTCCTGTAGGGAGAAGAGCACATATTAAAATATCTACAATGGGGATATAACAATATCTACACCAGAAATTTATCCCTAGATTATTCTTATTTCCGGCGGATTATATTTTGAACATAAATTAGTATTGTTTTGAAAATAGAGCCATCCATATTTATTTCATTAGATAATAAAAGGCATATATTGGATTTAATAAAATATTGGCAAATAAATATTTTATTAAATCCAATATATGCCTTTTATTATCTAATATATTAATATATATTTCAAATATACAGTTATCAGAGTCATCAACAATCAATAATTCTGTCACCATTTGCTTTTGTGAATGGAATGAATACCCAAATATGGCCATTTTTTGTAAGCATCGGTGGTTCAGTGGTAGAATGCTCGCCTGCCACGCGGGCGCCCCGGGTTCGATTCCCGGCCGATGCATTATGTTTTTTTACAATTTTTAAAAATCATTTATATCATTAAAATATATATCCAAGTATAAGGCACAATTTGGTTTATTTATCTATCTATATATATATATAAATGAATGTATGTGTGTGTGTCTGTCCTTTATGCCTGACCAAACCACTCATTGGAACGCCATGAAACTTTGGGACGTTATTTAGTATAGTACTGGAAAGGTTTCTGAAAAATAATTTCTTGAATATCTTGAATACCCTTAGAGTTATTTGAAGATTTGTAGATTTAACTCGCAAGCAGCGCCCCCATTGCGACGATGATAACAAGTTTTTTTATCTATAAGTTTTTTTATCACTAAGTTTATTATCTTAAAGATTATTTATCAAAAGTAAGATTTCTACCTATTAAGTTAGTTTTATCATTTATCTACAACATATATATTGGGAGAATAGATAAAATAATGATTTTGTAATGTAGAAAATTAGGAAAGACAAAATTCAGGATGACACGGCAATTTATTTGAGACAAGAATAATGATACAATTCAAAGGCAAGATACTATTCCTTTAACTTCCAATTACCGAGGGAACCAATTAATATTGATTTTATTCAACTTATCGAGTATTTTTCAAGGGACCGGGAAAAAAATGTTCACTTTATCGAGAGATTCGTTAAACAAACCTTTACTCGGGTAAAACCCGGGCGAAGCGGGGTACATCCATACAAGAATAATGATACAATTCCAAGGCAAGATACTATTCCTTTAACTTCCAATTACCGAGGGAACCAATTAATATTGATTTTATTCAACTTATCGAGTATTTTTCAAGGGACCGGGAAAAAATGTTCACTTTATCGAGAGATTCGTTAAACAAACCTTTACTCGGGTAAAACCCGGGCGAAGCCGGGTACATCCATACAAGAATAATGATACAATTCCAAGGCAAGATACTATTCCTTTAACTTCCAATTACCGAGGGAACCAATTAATATTGATTTTATTCAACTTATCGAGTATTTTTAAAGGGACCGGGAAAAAATGTTCACTTTACCGAGAGATTCAAATTTACGAGTTTCAAATTATCAAAATATATATATATTTTTTATAAGTTTATAGAGAATTGTTTTAACAAATGTTCGTTAGACAAACTTTTAATCGGGTAAAACCCGGGCGAAGCCGGGTACATCCTCTAGTTTCAAATAATTAAGATAAACTGAGATATTGCATATAGAAGTAAAATTAAATTTTGAAAACTAGATTCTATGAGATTAGCATTATATGAAACTAAAAGAAATCATCATTAAGGCAGAATAAATATACAAGTTTCTGTTTTTGAAAGATAAAATTTTTCCCATCTAATAGAATCAACATATGCCTATATTTACCTCCGGCTCTTTAGTGATTTTTAGCTGTTGAAAGTTTAATTGAACCTTGGATAATTAATTACTACAACCATACCTTGTTCATAGTGAAGAAATTTGTGAGCGGTAGTCGGGATTTCAACAAATATTGCTGATTCTACTGATAGTTTCAAATCTTCATAAACTATTTACGAGCTCTCTCTCTCTCTCTCTCTCTCTTCAAGTAATAATTATTGCCCACACCTGTATACAGGTGTATACAGGTATACAGTATACCTTGTATGTGTGCTCTACTATCTCTACAACTTTCAATTTTCAAAACTCAACTACACACCCTCTATCAAATGTGTGGATGAGAAAGATGCAACTATTTCTACCCGATACTCATGATCGCTAGGTTTGTCGGAGGTTCATTATTAAGAAAGCTCCCAACTCATTGAAATCCGCTCGATTTTGTGGAGTCAATTTAACATTCCACAGGTTTCAAAACCTGCTAAGCCCTCTTTGTCTTATTCAATATTTTTATTTTACCTATAAATTGAATCTATTCAATTATTAATTTACTTTTTTGTCTCCTCTCAACAGCTGAAGGACCGTATTGAATTTCTTTATTGTAAAAACACTTACATCAAAATATATTTATTTTAGCATAAACTCCTAAACAACACAAGCTTTCGAGCCGAGCTTAATTGATTAGTGCCACATATACGAAAATACCTAGTTGAACGTGATCTCCGTTTGAAGAATACTTTGTTGAAACAGCCGCTATTTACCAGGAATATCTATCTCAGAGTGTTGTTGGGAATATATCTTCAGTGTGTTGGTCTCTGGTGAATCCCAAGTATTTTATCTTATTTTTGTGTCTATAATTCTCTATTTTTTTCTTGCATTGGATTGGCTGGTTGAATTTGTTGGTCGTCTACTGAGGATAATATATCTTGCTGCGACATTTATCAAGTTTCAATATTTTCTACCAGGCAATGACAACGTGGTTAGCATTCATTAGCCTTTAAACCTTCCGAGAAATCATGTAAACCATCCCAATCATGACGGTTGATCTTGATACTTAAATGGGGGGTTTGATGTTCTACACCGTCAACTGCCTTCAGTATCGATGAACTCAAAAAACAAAGGAAAGTACGCTCTTTCGAGAGAATGTTCATAATTCGCCCCTTTAAATAAAAATTTAAATTTAAAAAGGAAATTTCATAAAAATAAAATATAAATATATAAATATATGTGATGATTTAAGACCATGGAATTGTTGTAAATAGTCTAGATATCTACTACCACATGTTCCACCCCATGACTGTATATAACTTCTTATGTACTGCAAATAGAAAGCCTCAACTAACATCAATCTGTACCGCGTAAGAATCTAATAAAGTATAACAACTGTACAGATAGAAGGAATGGAGACTAACAGGAGAAAATTAAGGTTAAAACTAATCAGGCTTAGGTGATAGTCGAAGTAAGGCCTAGCAAAGAAGCTTAAAGTTAGAACCACTATTAATAACTTGTACAGTCAATACTTCCTGACAAGGCCGGACGTATCTGGTGACCGCAGAAGTTATAAAAGTTGAGAGACGCCCAAATTTCCGGGGCAGGACCGGACGTATTTGATAACCGCGGAAGTTATAAGAGTCGAACTAACACCCAATACTTCCTGACAAGATCGGGCGTGTCTTCCGACAAAGACCTCAGTAAAGACCAATTAGAAAGAATCACCTAAATAGGTCAACCAATAGAAAAAGGCCATGTGACACCTTTCGACCAATGGGAAAGAAGACAGGTCGTGGTGTTAAATCGAGAAGCAAGAATTGTCAGTCTACGCTTGGATCCCAACGGTAACACTTGCTCTAAACATCTCTCTCTCCACTCTCCATTCCTTCTTGACGTCAGACGCTTCTTAGTGGAATCTCTGTTTGTTTATTTCACCTTTGGCCCAGCTGTGTCGCCTTCCACCACGACTGCACGGTAGAGTTGACATCGAGGTTCGTCTAGCATCAGGTAACACTGGTCCCAGAGGTCCCAAGATATCACATATATAAATAGTGACAAAGAAAAGTGGATCTCAATATAATGTGATAAATTGTGTGGGAATTTTATTTATAAATTTAGTGAGCGAAATTGAAAAGAGAAAAAGACTGCGACAATTATTCGTTTTAAAGTGCCGTTTGTGACTCTGCCGAAGGCTGCCATGGTAGAACAAACCAACATTTCTCTCTTTGAAAAGAATTACGAGGGCCATCCAATAAATAAGTTTCCCTATTTTTTTTCTGCGAACGAAACGTTGTAAAAAGTAGTTAGTAGTGTAAGAAATGGTCACTAGGATGCGTTGGAAGCGCGTGACCTTCAAAATCACGCTACTCGTACGCGCAAGTCCGTAGCGCTTCAGTTTCCACTGATGGACGTGTCCACTTGCGAACTCCGTTCTGTAATTCGTTTTTTCGCGGCGAAAAATGAAACTGCGGTCAATATTCATCGCAATTTAGTGTCAGTGTATGGGGAAGGATGTATGAGCATCTAAATGGTTCGCCGATGGCGTTCATGGTTCTTGGAAGGACGGCAAAACGTGCATGATGACGAGCGAAGCGGCAGGCCCGTTACTGCTACGGACAATGCAGCCGTTGCTGCTGTTCGGAATGTGGTGGAAGCAGATCGCCGCGTCACCATTGACGAAATAAGGATTCGACTGCCTCCTGGAATCGAAATTGGACGCTCTTCGATTGGAATAATCATGTCAGATGTTTTGAATTTTCGAAAAGTCTGCGCAAGATGGGTCCCGCGTTTGCTCTCGGAAAATCACAAGCAACAACGGATGGAGGCAGCCTGAGCTTTCCTGGAAATGCATCGAAGAGATGGAGATCAACTGTTATCCCGCATTGTCACTGGAGATGAAAGCTGGGTGCATCATTCAACTCCAGAAACAAAGAAACAAAACGACAAAGCATGGTGTGAAAGAAGCCTGAGGAAAGTGCACCAAAAAAGGAGACGGTCACAATCTCTGCAGGCAAAGTTATGGCTATCGTCCTTTGGGACTGTAAGGGTGTTTTATTGGTTGACTACCTGCCCCCAAACACTACGGTTAACGCTTCGAGATACTGCGAAGTCCTCACTAAACTCAGAGCTGCAATAAAACGGAAACGTCCTGGACTTTTGTCTCGGAAAGTGTTACTCGTCCATGACAATGCTCGCCCTCACTCAGCTCGAACGACCCAAACGTTGCTGGAAAACTTCAAATGGGAAATTTTCACACATCCACCTTATTCTCTGGAACTTGCCCCAAGCGACTTCCATCTTTTTCCAGCACTCAAGTTGCACCTTGGAGGCAAGCACTTTGCGAATGATGACGAAGTGCAGGCGGAGGCAAACCACTGGCTACGAAGACAGGACACGGCTTGGTACAACAGTGGTATCAAATAATTGCTACAATGGTACCAAAAATGTTTTGACAGAAATGGTGATTATGTAGAGAAGTAGTCTATGAGTTGTATAACGCGAAAATAAAATAACTGCATAATTGTAAATAATGTTTATTTGTTAAAAAATAGGAAAACTTATTTATTGGATGACCCTCCTAGTTTCTCAGAGTTCTCATTAATTTCGTTCACTTGATTATGAATTAATTTAATCGCCCAATCCATACTTCCTTCATAA